GCTGCCATGTGGGTGCTGGGAATCAAACCTGGGTCCTCTGCAAGAGCAATCTGTTCTTAACCACTGAGCCATCTCTCCAGCCCCTCATCTTTTTAAAAAAAATATTTTATTATTTTTATTTTATGTGTATGAGTGTATATTGCCTGCGCTCGTGTTGTGCAATGCCCATGGAGTTTAGAAGAGGATGTAGGATCCCCTAGAACTGGAGTTACAGACGGTTGTGGTGTGGGAACCAAACCCTGGTCCTCTGCAAAAGCAGCCAGTGCTCTTAACCATTGAGCCATCTCTCCAGCCCCTAATCCTCTTTTATTTAAAAAAAAAAATTTTAGCACTTATTTTGTGAGAGCGACTCGGTGGCTCATGCCATCACAAGTGTGTGGTCAGAGGACAACTAGCAAGAGTTGGTTCTTTCCTTCCACCATGGGGGTCCGGGGGATATGTCAGCTTGTGGGCAAGCACCTTTATCTGCTAAGCCATCCTGCTGGCCCACTAATTTTTTTTTTCCTCCTCTTGGCATCATCTGAGCCTGTGGCATTATCGGCACTGCCCTGGGCATCTGCAGACCATCGTGAGGCGCACTAATCTTTGAAATGGAGTAAATTAAGTCATAGGAAAGTCTTACTCCATTTTCTCGTGGGAGCATAAAATATGGATAAATATGGATAAAATATGGATATTCTAAATGTTTGCCACCATATTTCCAGTAGATTTTTCAAGGAAGCTGGAGACCTGGCAGACGGGGGAATGGGTCTGAAAAGCTGTCTTTTGTACAAAGAAATCTACAACTATCTGCATTTGTAAGGTAAACAGCAAATGCAGTGGAGTCCTGTCCCCTCAGCCAGCAATCTTTCCAGAAGAAAGGGGGCGGGGTATGCTCTGATACCTGACACCCACACAGAAGAACGCTGGTGGCTGCTTGGGGAGCCTTCATAAGCTTCACAAGGCAACCCTGGCCTGCTGCACTCACCTCCTCCTCCTCTTCCACTTTTGTAGTTATTGTTTATTTTGTCCAAGACGCAGTCTCATGTAGCCCAAACTGGCCTAGATCTTCCAGTCGCCACCTCCCAAGTGTTGAGATTACAGGCCGGTGTTACTACCCTGTTCTCTCTCAGCTCTCCTGCTCCCTTTCTCTCTTTCTAGTGTTGGGGGTGGAACTCAGGCCCTGGAGCTTGTTAGGAAAGCTTCTGACCACTGAGCTGCACCTTCAACCCAGAAAGCGAAGGTGATAGGTAAAGTAGGCGATGGGTGAATCAAGGCACCGGGACACAGATAAAATTCCAGCGGGACAGAGTTTATTAGCCAAGGAACACATGGGCCAGATTCCCTTCCAGGCAGGGAAAAATGTCTGCCCCGGGTGGTGAGCTGGGGTCTTTTATAGCGGGAGGCTTTAGGGGGGTGCAGAAGGCAGGAAGATACATATTTTTTTAAAAGTTAGGTGGGGGGATGCGGAAGAGCGGGACTGTTAAAACCTGCCCCCTTTAGAGATCCAAGGGGAAGCCTGCTGTGTTGGCCAAACAGTGGAGAAAAGTCTGCTTCTCTTGACTTCAAAGACCAGGGTGCATATCAACTCAGTTCCCTTTTCTCAGGGGCTTTCGAAGTCCTGTTGGTGAGGGGGCAGAGCTATCTGAACCTTAACAGAAGCTATCTTGTCCATTTGGTTTTTTGAGACAATATCACAGTCTGTAGCCTCAGCCCTCAAACTCACAGTGATTCTGTTTCAGCATGAAAGAGTACATTTAAACTTGCCTTCCCTTTTTGCGGCTCTCATTCTGCATCATTTTGACCTGACAAGGATTATGATGAGGTGTGGGCACCAGCCCAGCCCAGCTAGGAGTTCAGACAGCCACTGCAGCCCACCCTAAGTCTCCAGGACAGGGAGCTTAACTTGCTTCCTTCTTAAGTGGATGATCTCCTCTTTCCTTTATCAGGTATTCACAGGAGCTGTGGCTGATTAGGAATCACACTGCTCAAATTTGACAGCCATTGCAGCAGAAGAAGCAGGCCAGCCCAGCCCAGCCCAACATAGCCCAGCACAGCCTAGGCCAGCCCAGCCCAGCATAGCCCAGCACAGCCTAGGCCAGCACAGCCCAGCACAGCCCAGCACAAACTAGGCCAGCCCAGCCCAGCCCAACATAGCCCAGTCCAGCCCAGCATAGCCCAGCACAGCCTAGGCCAGCCCAGCCCAGCATAGGCCAGCACAGCCTAGGCCAGCCCAGCCCAGCCCAGCATAGCCCAGCACAGCCTAGGCCAGCACAGCCCAGCACAGCCCAGCACAAACTAGGCCAGCCCAGCCCAGCCCAACATAGCCCAGCACAGCCCAACATAGCCCAGCACAGCCTAGGCCAGCCCAGCCCAGCACAACACAGCCCAGCACAGCCTAGGCCAGCCCAGCCCAGCATAGGCCAGCACAGCCTAGGCCAGCCCAGCCCAGCCCAGCATAGCCCAGCACAGCCTAGGCCAGCACAGCCCAGCCCAGCATAGCCCAGCACAGCCTAGGCCAGCACAGCCCAGCACAGCCCAGCACAAGCTAGGCCAGCCCACAGCACAACACAGCCCAGCACAGCCTAGGCCAGCCCAGTCCAGCACAACACAGCCTAGCACAGCCTAGGCCAGCCCAGCCCAGCACAACACAGCCCAGCACAGCCTAGGCCAGCCCAGCCTAGCATAGCACAGCCCAGCACAGCCTAGGCCAGCCCAGCCCAGCATAGCACAGCCCAGCACAGCCTAGGCCAGCCCAGCACAGCCCAGCACAGCCCAGCACAGCCCAGCACAGCACAGTCCAGCACAACACAGCCTAGCACAGCCTAGGCCAGCCCAGCCCAGCACAACACAGCCCAGCACAGCCTAGGCCAGCCCAGCCTAGCATAGCACAGCCCAGCACAGCCCAGCCCAGCCCAGCCCAGCATAGCACAGCCCAGCACAGCCTAGCCCAGCCCAGCACAGCCCAGCACAGCCCAGCACAGCCCAGCACAGCACGGCCCGACACAGCCCAGCACAGCCTAGGCCAGCCCAGCCCGGCCCGACACAACCCAGCACAGCCTAGGCCAGCCCAGCCCAGCACAACACACCACAGCTAGAGCAGTTCCCTCCCCCAAGAGGGAGCTTCATTCACATAAAGCCAGATCCCGGGCCACAGGGCAGAAAAGGATTTCAGGATGATCCAGAACAAAACAGTAAGTTTGTTAAGTTTTAAGACAGAGTATATGGGAGGACAGTAGAACCCTACCCACCAGCCCACCAAAATGGGAGTGGGCACCTCAAAAGCTGTGCTTAGGTGTCTTTACATTGACTGTGTGTGATCCTGTGACTTTCTAAATTACATTCCTCAAAGGCTGTCATTTACAAGGTTTAAAGATTAAAAACAGTGGGACTAGAAAGATGGCTCAGCTGCTAAGAGCACTGGCTGCTCTTGCAGAGGACCTGGCTGGGTTCAGTTCCCAGCACCTACATGTTGGCTAACAAACATCCATCCAATTCCAGGGGATCTGATGCTGTCTTCTGGCCTCCACTGGCATTGCAGGCAAGGGTGCACTAAACGTACAAGAATGCAAAACACTCATACACATATATATTTTTTTGGTCTTTTTGAGACAGGGTCTCCCTGTAGCCCCAACTGGCCTGGAACTTGCTATGTAGACCAGGATGGCCTTGAACTCACAGAGATTCACTTGCCTCTGCCTCCCAAGTGCTGGTATTAAAGGACATAAAATAATTTTTAAAAGATCAAATAGAGCTTAAAATTGAAGTATTTTTTTAATATTTGATTTTTTATTATTTTTATTTTATGTGTATGAGTGTATTGCCTGCATGCGTGTAAGTGCACTCATGTTGTGCAATGCCTGAGGAAGTCAGAAGAGGGCATCAGAGCCCCTGGAACTGGAGTTACAGATGGTTGTTAGCTGCCATGTGGGTGCTGGGAACCAAACCTGGGTCTTCTGCAAGAGCAGTCCATGCTCTTAACCACTGAGCTGTCTCTCCAGCTCCAAGTGTAAAAGTTCTGTAAAATGTTTGGGCTGCTAGGCCCAAACAAGTTCCAGGCCAGCCAGAGCTATGTAGTGAGACACCCCACTTCCCCCATTTCAGAAAACAAAACAAAATAATTTCCTTTTATAAATGAAATTCTAATGTGGTTTTTATGAGGTAGCTTGATATGTTGACACAGTAAAACACATTTGATATTTTTAACATTTTTGAGATGTCTTTAGGAAAATATGCCTTATCTCGTCTCTGCAGACAGTTTTGGCTTAATCAGTTGTGGTTTGTTTGTTTGTTTGGTTGGTTGGTTGGTCTTTTTGAGACCGGGTCTCCCTGTAGCTCCAACTGGCCTGGAACTCACTATGTAGACCAGGCTGGCCTTGAACTCACAGAGGTCCATCTGCCTCTACTGGGACTAAAGGCATGCACCACCACGCCTGTCTCCTCAGTTGTTTTTTTGGCTTTCAATTAGCACGAAAAGGCAAATAGGTTCCAGGATGAGGGCCTCCTTCCCCTTCCCACGGTGCCCTTCATTTTCCTTGTCTTTCTACCCTGTCTCAAAATCAGAATCCATTTTATCATCTGGAAATCTCCAGGGCTGCAACCTTTGTTTCACAGAGAGCCCTGTGGAGGAGGACCACTGCAAACAAGTTCCCTTTGGTTTTATTCCAAATGTAAACAGCCTGGAATCCCACTGGGAAGAGTTTTCTTCCAGGACAGACAAAGTCTGCTGGAGGAGTGGATTTTTGCTAATGTGAAAATGGACTGCTAATGGCTGGAGAGACTGCTCTTGCTGAGGACCAGGGTTTGAGTCCCAGCACCCACATGGTGGCTAACAACCATCCATAATTCCAGTTCCAGGGGATCCAACACTTTGTCTGACATCCTCGGGCGTTGCGTGACATGGGTGCACTTAAATTCTTAAACTAATACACATAAAAATAACACAATACTTAAAAGAATATGGGCGGTTCACCCTGTGGTTACTAAAATGTTAGTATCTGCTGTACCTGGCAATCAGTCATATGGAGCAGCAGCATCGTTGTTTTAACCCTAAAATTAGTTGGCCAGCTAAGCTAGAGCTGGGTGGCAGGAAAGCATTGAGTGCTAGCCGCCGGCTTCATTTCTGCCCCTTGATCCAGTGCAGAAACCAGCGAATGAAGCATTCTTGCTGTTAATCCATTGCAGATTTCTGATCTCTCTGAGCACTCAGATAGACCTGAAGGTTTCCTTCTAAACTCTTCAACAGCTCTGAACAGTTGCTGTCCACAGGAAGTTCTTAAAGAAGACCAGAGAAAAGTACTGAATTGCTTGTTTGAGGGGGTTTTTAATTAATTCTTTTTGAAACAGGGTTTCACTATACATAGTTACCTGGCCCAGAACGCTCTATGTAGACCAGGCTGGCCTCAAACTCACCTAGATCCACCTGCCTCTGCCTCTCAAGTGATGGGATTAGAAACATGCGCTGCCTCACCCAGGCCCTATTTATTTATTTTATAGTACCTTGGGCCTCCTGCATGCTAGGCAAGTACTCTACGATTGAGCCATGTCCCCAGCAAGGGGACAGAGAGATGACTCAGCAGGTAAAAGTGCTTACCACCAA